CACTGCCGGTTTTTGATCAAATTTTAGGATTTTCAGTGCGCCTTATGGTCGTGAAAATACGGTAACTTTAAACAATTTAAATCATTTCTGATCTTAAGCATAGGCTAACTGGAATATTTCTTGGTCCCGTATTTATTTTGTATATAGTCAATCCATTTTTTCCAGTCTCGTTTATATCTCTCATTTTGACATAACTGCAGTTTACCAAATCCCTGTTAAATAGAACGTGTCAGAATTCAGATCTTCCCCGAGGCATAAACTCTTTATATCCATATTGTGATTCAATTTAATTTACTATTCTATTCTATACTAGTGTATTAATAAAATGTATTAATTACATTTTATTGCTTCATTAAAATGATTAATACTCAGTGATCTAGGAGTTTGTAATAATTTCTGTAACTCATTGGGAGAGTTGCTTTGGCTTTAGTACTGTTGTTTCTGACAAGTGAAATAGGGCACTGTTTCTCGTCCTCTCTCCCTCCCTCTCTCTCATGTTGGTTTGGATCAAAAGGTCCATATACATGGAGAAACTTATAAATGTGTCACTTTTTTCACAAAATAGCTCATTGAATAAGTAAAGTACAACACAGAATGAGTAAACTTTACCCAACTATATAACAATTATGCAAAATATAATATAAGAAATGAAGAATTTTTATATATTTTGAAAGCCAATAGATGTTAATTACACTCAGACCTGAAAGCAAAAAAGCATGAAATGTATTTACTGAATTTCCTAAATACACTAATGATATTAATTAACACAACACAACAAAAGTATAGTTGATTGCTGGGTTCATAAATCAATGTCCATGTCAATGTGTAGAGGCTGCATTGTATATTATTCTTAGTAGTTCATAGCTAGGACTTCTATGCAGTAATCTCCCCTAAAAAAAGAAGAATAAACCATAGAGAGTCTTTGATAATTGATGCCTCCATGTTTCTACTTGAGGTGCATGATTAATTAAAGCCGCAATATAATTGTGATGGGACCATATTCCAAGATATAATCTCTCTCTCTCTCTCTCTCCCTCTTGAAGGTTCCAACCTAGTTGAAATATGCTTCAAGGCCTTTTGGAAAGCCAAAAGGATGACAGTGAATTTGACCTTTATTATACTTTTACTGTTTTTCCTCCCAGCTTTCCACCATATACACTGTTATTGTGGTTGCTCTATGCTTCTCAGAGCAATTATAGTGTTGGGTGCCTTACAAATTTCTAAAACAAACAAATAAATAAAATATATAGGTCTTTTAAACTTCACTGTGTGACACCCCTATGGAAGACATAGCTGAAATTAGATGTGATACAATAGAGCGATTTACTTATTGTAGAGCGAAAAGTTGAAGATATTTTATTATTGCAATATAAGTCTTTGAAAAGAAAGCTTTCTGGAAAAAAATCAACTATAATTTGTATGTATTTGCTGAAATAATTTATTCAGAATAGAAGCTTATGAGGTTATAATAATTGGTGTACAAAGTTTGATGTCATGTAACTTAGCAAGAGCAATACTGGAGTTCCAGTTACCATTTTAACTCCAGGACTGTGCAGATCATTTAGTAGAAAGATGTGGAAATCCCAGGCAAGCAGGGATGACTGGTAGATCTATGAGTAAGAGTTAAATCTAAAAATTAAAATTGTAGTTGAAATTGTATTAATATTTAGTCAGTCAGTCAGTGCTATCTATCTTTGGTATAAAATAATTTATACTAATTTATACTATTAATATGAAATTATACTAGTTATCAGTATAAAAACAATTAATACTATACTTATACTGTTTACAAAGGAACCAATTAATAATAATTTTTAAATGTAAATGCTGCCTGGCTCCCACCAATTCTGAGCAGTTTACAAATTGTTAAAACATTAAAAAAAGAAAAAGAAAACTATGGATAGGAACACAGAAAAAGAAGAAAAAGGAATTTCAGTCATGCTCACCAAAGGCCCGGAGAAAGAGACAGTTCTTTGGAAAAGAAATAGGATAGGGTCCATTTGAATCCAGAATCCAACTTCCAGAGAACAAGTGATGCTACAGAGAAGACATGCTTCTGGCATCCTGGCATTGTTTAATTAAAGGAACTCTGAGTTTATAAACACTGACAGATCAGCTAGATTAGGTAAATAGTAATGGGAGACAATACTATTACAGTCCCTCAAGTATGCTGGCATTATACCATGTAGGGCTCTATGGGTAGTGACAAGCACCTTAAATTATACTTGGAAACAAACAGGCAAACAGTTTGCAAAGTAGAATCATTGGATCATTTTGAAGGATAATGAGATAATCAGAGATTACCTACTCGAGAGAATCTAATATTTTGGAAGTGCAGTATTGGGCAATCTACTAATTTTATTTTGGGGTGCAGGATATACTACTATATGTAAAGCATTTTTTCATTTTGGAATATTTTTTTCCCCAGCTGTCACGATAGTGATATAAAATATATTTCTAAACTTCATCACTAATCTGTAAAAGATCCTACGTTACACTCCTAAATAGTATGTGCACTTTGCTGACCCACCTATTTGGCCTACAGAAGAATTACTTGTTTCTTGATTGTTTTGGGGGTAGTTCTTTTTCACTTTGAAATCCATAATATTTTAAAGTTGTGTTGGATGGTGCAATATAGCAATTTTAAAATAGTAATGGTAATTTTAATATTGGTATTTCTTTTAGAATCTGTGTTTGTGGGTACCCTCGGCAACAAGTAAGAAAATACAGAGGCATAAACAGCAGAATTCCAGTCTCCTCTGAATTCATGGTGCAAATGTTAACAGGGATTTATTATGCTTTGTAAGTTCAGTAAATCTATGTCTTGTATATACATGTAATAGTGAATTTTAGAGCACGTTATATATAAAATACAAAATGGAATGCAAAATACAAAAATACAAAAATTTATATGATAGCAGAGGCAGAATTCAGAACTCTCACAGTTGACATTGTAAAGGTAAGAATTTTTCAACTTTCTTCCTATTGTTTTTATAAACTGTCCAAAGTAACTTCCTGAATGACAATCAGTAGTTGATTCTGGCCCTACAAAATGAAAAAAAAAAAATCTGCTTATCACTTCTTTTAAGTAAAACCAAAACAGACATGTAGTTTCATGAGGGAAAAACTGCAAAATCTATAGTAATTGAGATTAGGATCAATCAGATGCTTAAAAAAATATTTTTTAGAATCTGAAAGACTACCCTTTCTCTCCCTAAAATGCTGGTTTCACATGGGGCAGTGGTGGTAATGGAGCTGGCAGAGCCAATTGTTAAACTTTTATCAGCAAACCACATTATATGACAATGATTATCTTATGCCCATAGGCTGGTGATTCTGAAATTACTACAGATAATTCTTATTTAACAACCATTGACCATTTGAAGTTATGGTGGTACTGAGAGGATGGTTCTTTTGTCTGGTCCATGAAGTAATGGCCCCCGTGGTCACATGAACAAAATTTGACTGATTGGCAGCTTGCTCATACTTAGGACCACAACAGTCCTCAACTCCACCCATCCGCCCACAATTCTTAGTCATCATAACTCGACTATTGAAATCAACACTGGGTAAAAGGGAACATGTACATGTTAAATGATAGAAACATATATGTTAAATATGCAAAATCTTGAATTTGTAATCCTATGGAATTTGTGTTGTTTTTAAATGTTCAGATTTCTTTTATAGATAGCATTCTGTTTGAAAATTATCTAATCTAAATTTTTAAGTAGCAATTTTAGCAAATTCCTGATAGTTAAAATGTTGCTATTTTTTTGGTTAGGAAACCATGTTGAGAAAGCAAATTTGCATTCTGGTACAATAATAGTTATGACAGAAACATTGTGATTGAGATACAGCATGTGTTTGTATTTTAAAAGTCACAGACCTTTATTACTGCTTTGAAGTAGTGATGTAGAAGGGATATTAATTTTTTCCTGTGCATAAATTTTATCAATGTATTCTGATCACTAATGCTTCCATGGAAAATATCTGTCTGTCTGATCTATCCCCAATATGTATGCGCATGTGCATGAATATTCATATACAATTAGTCATTTAATTTCATGTCTGCGTGTGTGGGTGCTTTATCACATCTCATTTGATACTTGGTACTACATGTTTATAAGAAGGATTAATATTTCTTATAGGTGTTAGGATTTACACTGTTTGGCATGTTGTTTGAAAAAGAGTAACTTATAAATCCATTCAATGAATTGAATTCATTGCTACCTTGAAATACAGACTGGAGTGGATGTTAAATGGGTGGAATTTCATCATGCATGTTGCAAGAAATTTTCAAGCTTTCTTCTGGTTTCAACAGTTGCAACATTTTTTCTTTTTTTCTTTTCCTATATTATTATACTTAAGATATGCACTACTTCTCTTTACCGATAATCGCAGGAAACAAAGCTACTGAATTGTAATAGTATGATTACAGAGGTTCTTGGGCATAAAAAATGGTATGGAGCAACAAATCATTGAGATCTGATTTATTTATAAAAAGCTGCCTTTAAGTATAATGAAACATCATATCCTTGTTCTATTATAATGACTGATCCATTTTGAATTCATTGTGGAGATATATATTTCTTACCTAACATTACAGAAGGAAACAAAATAAGATGACATAGACATATTCTATAATCATTGAAATATTTCCCAAATTACTAATTTTTCTTGGATGTATAATTTTTGTATTTATAATATTAGAAACCATTTACTAAATATCTGTTCATGACTAATATGCATGGCTATGATAATGAAAGAATAATCATATTATATTATAGCATGCGGTCAGTTTTCATTTTTTGGCTTAACATTCTAGTTATAATGGAGAATGGGATCTGGCTCGTAAAGCAATGGATGATGTTTTATACAGAGCACAATTGGAGTTATATCCAGAACCACTATTGGTAGGTGTTTTGTGTCCAATGTATTATTCTTCAGGTTTTTAAATTTATTTTGAATATTTTTGTATATTTAACTTACATAATTAAAGTATCTTACAGAAACAAAATGTCATTATATCATCATCATCATCATCATCATTATCATCAAATATTTATTCAGTCACAGACCAGCTAAAATGCTTAAAATAATTTAAAACAAAGCAAAGTCTCTGAAAATCATGTTCTCATAGATGTGCAGCAGTTATAGCATTCTATAACAAAAAACAAAAACTAACAAAAACAGTTTATTGAAGGTTGAATAATTTTTGTAATAAATACAGTATTTATGTAGTGGAAAAATACAAGAACTAAATTGATATCCTAAGATTGTGAAGTTTTGTAGCAGACATTACTACCAGACTCTGTTTCTTGACTTGCATTATCACTATCAGAAAAATCTAATGCACTACAATATGTAAAATACTTTTCCTAAAGATTTCAGTTAAATGGCTCTTTGTAGGAGCTTCCAATTATTTAGTAATCCTGATTGTGTGTGTAGGTCAAGCATCCCTAACCCCCAGGGGATGAACTGGTATCAATCCATGGCCTGTTAGAAACCAAGCTACACAATTAGAGGTGAGCAATGGACAAAACTTTTTCTGAATTTTCAGCAGCTCCCCAGTGCTAGCCTCACCACTTCACCTCCACCTCAGATCATTGGGCATTAGATTCTCATACGAGCGCTAACCCTACTGTAAACTACACATGTGAATGATCTAGATTGCGTGTTCTTCTCTCCACCCCCAATGGTCCATGGAAAAATTGTCTTCCGTGAAACTGGTCTTTGGTGCTAAAAGGTTTGGAGACTGCTGTAGTAGGACACCTTAAGGCAATACTCACCATTTTAAAATTGGTCTTGAAATGACTGGAAGGTAACATTGAAAATTTCATATCCTGATTCTGTGCTATACTGATAGTATTTTACTTAAGAGTAGTCACTTAGCGATTGTTCATAATTACATCAGACTTCCTCAGGACCACTTACAACCTGGTTTTGAAATTCAGACGGCTGCCCCTCTCCCACAGTCACATGATTACATTTTCATTAATAAAATTGTTTCTATGGTTTGAAAATTGATTTCATTGCATTGAAAATTGATTAGATCATTCTGTTGGCAAGTTAAATAACAAAGCTCTGTTGGTAGGAATTGTTTTTCACATAATTTCTCCAAATAATGAAATAAAAATTTGTTAGATTACAAAACTAGTAAACTCTTTCAGTTCTTTAAGGCAGAAGGATCAGATATCCTATTCATAAAACCCCCTTTTCCGATATTCGGTCATATTTTAATACAGAGGTGGCAACATCCACATAGACCCTGCTGAGCATTTTTTGAAGATTCACTCCTGACTTCCACAATCTTAGTTTCTAAGATATAAAAGTTAATATTTATTTTATTTAGATTTAAAAATTCTATCTTTATTATTTTTATAAAAAACTCAAGACGGCAATATTCTTTCTTTCTGCTATTTTGTCCAAAACATCCTTGTAAGGCAGATTGGGCTGAAAGAGAGTCACTGGCCCAAAGTCCCCACCTTTTCATTTTTAAACTGGGACTAGAATTCATAGTCTCTTGGTTTCTAGTGAAGTGTGCCTTAACAATTAAACCAAACTGGCTCTCAATTAGAGCAATAGAATTCTTAATACAGTAGCTTAGGCCTGGTAAGATGCCAATTACTGTCAGAGTTATTTAAGAAAAATATGAGGTGTAAGTTCCATTTTGGGCTTCTGTCTTCATAGACATGGATAAAATGTGATATCCAGTGATTGGGGTTTGAGTGTTATAATTCCTCTTTTTGACAAAGGTACAAGAAATAAGCTTGACAATTATAGTCCAATCAATGTGTTGAACAATACTTGCAAACTCTATGCCAGGCATTTTGATTGGAACTTTCAGAATAGAAAATAAGTCCGTTTTAGGTGAAGAGCAAATAGTGTTTAGGGTTTTCCCCAATACATTTATCAAAATTGTGAAAAAAACCTAATAAATGAATAGGAGTGTTGGAATCCTCCCTTTGTGATACATTCTTGGATTTTAGAAATGCTGTTGACTCTACAGCTAATTCTCAATTTAGAGTGACAATTGAGCCCAACATTTCTATTACTAAACAAGGCAGTGTTTAAATATTTTTCTCTCCATTTTATGACATTTTTTGTCACAATTGTTAAGTAAATCATTGTAGTTATTAAGTAAAACATGTGGTCTTAAAATGAACCTGGCATCCCCTATTGGCTTTGCTTTCTAGAAGTTGGTTGGAAAAGTCATAAATGGTGTTCACATAATCCCATGACAATGCAACTGTCATAAATATTTGCCAGTTGTCAAGTTGTAAGTGTGAGACTAGTCATAAGTCACTTTTTTCAATGCTGTTGTAACTTTGAACAGTTACTAAATAAATAGTTCCAGGGTTGCAGACTATTGGTATCTCCAGAGACAAATTCAGGGCAAACTGGTATACTGACATTAATATTTTTTTTACCATTTATCAACACATTCCACAATAGCACCTATGTAAGAGTTAGAAGTAATCTGAAAGGGACAGATTATAATGCCTATGAAAAAGTTTGTAAGACAAGATTATATTTTAGCATTTTACTTTTCAGTCTTACTTTTCAATCTTAACTCAAACTCTACCACTTAAAGTAGCTGATTTAAATACTCCAATATTTTTGCGTGCAATTGACAGGATAATGGTTTTGAGCAAGATGTTGCCTTCTTCTGTGATGGATTCTGAGATTGAGTCATTTGCATAGAGAAAACCTGTTTTGTATCTTCTGTTTGACATTATATAAACAAAGGAGAATATGTATGAAATTGATATGCACATTTGATAACATTTTCAGAAACAGTTTGCCATTGCTTTGTTCCTAAGGCTGAGAGAACATAACAGGTTTAAAGCCACCTGGTGGCTTCACTATGCCTAAAACAGGACTGGATTCATACTTTGGAGTGCAATGACCATGAACACAGCAAGTGTCTGCAACTTATATCATTTTTCCCAATGTCTTAAAGACAGTTGTAGATAGATGTTGTCTTTATATCATTGATTTGCATAGTCCAGATCACATTTTTGTCTTCAAAATAGGTGCTTTGTTGCATAGTCCTACTATATATATATATGCAACATTATCTTTATCAGAAATCATAAATATTCCATGCTACAGAGCACAGCAATTTTTAGCAGGATCATTGAGCACTAAAAGGAAGTCTAGTGAGAAAGCAACAATCTGTTTCTACTAGCTTGTTCATCAAGTAACTGGCAGAAAAATGCTTTTCTGGAGTGCATTCAGATACATATTTTCATCCTATAGTCCAAAGCACTGCTTCATTATTTTTCTTAGTATGAAAGATTTCAGCTACTGAAAGAATGATTGCACAGAAGAAATAAATTGTCAGGGGAAAAAATGTATACACTATTTAGTGGGTGGCTTAAAAAAAAACAAGATGAGGAAATGTAATCATTAATGGGATTTGGCAGTAGCTTTTAAAGCAAATGTTTTCTGATTGAAGTCTTTAATCATCTGAACCAAAGCGGTAATTGTGAACAGATGGAAGTCAAATTACTACCTCTCTTGATTTTTGTTATATCAGATGCAATTTTTGATGTATGGTAAATATTGTTTCAATTCAAAATCTGATGTTAATGTGACAATCTCACCCACATTTTATTTAATTATTGTTATTTTCTTTAGGTAGCTAATGCAATAAAAGCTTCATTGCCTCAAGGTGCCATAAAATCTAACAAAGAAGGTACTAAATGTATTCAGGTTGAAATTACTCCTACAGCATCGAGGATATCAAGAAATGCTGTGACTAGCATGTCTATTCGGGGCCATAGATGGAAAAGGCATGGTAAGAACTTTGGTTCTGAAAATCTTAATTATACCATAACAAAAAATTAATATTAAAATTAATAAAAACTGGCATACCATGATTATCTAAAAATTGATATTCTTATTTATACTAATAAGAGATCCCATGTATAAAAGGCCAATTAACTTTTATGTTATTTCATTTCTATAATATAAAGAGGTTTTATGTCTGTCTTTTTTGTTTTTATTAGCATAAGAAACCAGGCAATGCTTATTTTACAGTTCATCATACATTATTTGTAGTTAATGTTATACATTATATTAAAATTCTGGTTTAACATATTCATTGCACTTTTGATTTCGTATATCATTGTTTCAAAATAATTATTGACATGATTGATTAATCATGTTATTCTTCTTAATCTAATATAATTTCCCTCATTTTTTTATTACAGCAGTGTTTATAAGTATGCTCCCATTAATAAAAGTTTTATACTTATTGCACAGTGCTTTTGTTCTTCATGTACTATGTCTTATACATTGCAGATATAGCAAAACATAGAAAAGGTATTTCTATCTTTTGATATACATTCAGCACTAGAGAATGGATTCATAGACCCAATAATGATTTTGTGGCTTTAAGGTTGGATGCAGAATAGTTAGTATTAGTAAGTAAAATTATTAGTTTATTTGAACAACAAAGAAGATATAATTTTATAAATAGAGTTCTTTTCCTATATTTTTGATTAGTGATAGGGTTAGTTGCTGTTTCTCTTTGCTACCCTGTTAAGAGCTTATAATGGAAATACTGATCTATTGCTAAACTCAATAACTAACCTGTAGTTTTGTTTTTGTCTAGCTAATGTAGTTTCCAATATTTTATATAAGTATAAATATATTGGTAGTCCAGAAAAGATATATATTTTTCATTTTTTAGACACTATTTTTACTACTGTTACCTTTCTGCAGGAGTCATGCTTGATGATACAGGTGCTGAAGTTCAAGAGGCAATGGTTAGGACAAGTGTTTGCTGCAGCAGATAACAAAGAATAAGGCAAGAGGCTTGATAGTATTAGTAAAGCAATAAAGATGAACAGTTATTCTATTAAGAAGGATAATTTGCAAGGTATGCAAGCATTGCTGCAGATCCTTAAGCATCCAATATATTGGATGCTATTTCCTTCAGGAAAAGAATTTCATAATGTAACAAAACAAAGAGAAAATAAAGTGCCATTTTGGCTGCTGGTGGAGAATTTGGGGGTTATTTTATAAATAAATTTCCTCTGAACTTACTTTGACTTATTACAAATACATTTAAGAGCTTCTACATACTTCTAAATACTTCTGCTGGAAAGAAGCATGTATCCAACAGTTAGAACCCAGCTTATTAGGAGAACAAGTCTAGAATTTTAGTTTAGTTAAACAAATACTGACTTGTTCTGCTGGCAAAGAAATGTGGACACATTTTTTTAAAATGTTGATTGATAATTCAGAACAAAGTAACATTTTGCTTCAAGATAAACCATAATTCAAGAGATAAGTACTTTCACTTTTAGATTTGCTTTCCATATTTAGTATAATCATTTATTAGTTTGAAAAGGGGTGGCATCTTCTTGATTTTTCAATATTGCTATCTCAATTTTTGAAGTTGATTGACCCAAGAACTTGGGTTCTTTGGATTACATATCCCTTAAGATCTGGACTAAAAAGATCTGATCCCTATTGCAGTTTAATATGCTATGCAATTCAGGGGTGGGTTCCAGCTTCTTCTATTACTGGTTCGCTCAGGGATGTGCTGTGTGCGGGTACACTTGATGCATGCTATGCGCGCATGCGCAGTAGTAAAAAATATGCCCGGTTCAGAGGTGTGGCAGACCGAGTTACTACCTACTTGGCTGAACCAGTATGAACCCACCTCTGTGAGATGTCCTGTGAGACAAAATACCAAGAAGCATCTTTAAGAAAATAATGTGGATAAATTATGTTTTGAGAAAATGAAAGGTTTTGTTTGCTGTTTTCATGCTCTGTGTTATTCAAAAGCACTGGTTTCTACTGATCATTCATCAGTCAGTTGGTTACATATGTATCTATTTCAAAATTAGAAAGAATACTTGATTTGATATTTATTTTTCCTTCTGGATTATAATAGAATCTCTAGGAGGCTTAATTTTTTGTATCTATAGTACAGCATCTGAACATTATTTATAAGATAAATTAATGCACATGCTGGTAATGACAAAATTGAGCAGAACTATTCAATTATCTAAAATTGATGCTTTGCCCTTAAACTATGGTACTGAGTAAAGTTTGCAAGATGTATAAATCAGACAAACTGTACTTAGATCATAAAAGTATAGACTAATGAGGATTTTATGGTAAACAATGGTAATACCAAGTGGAACCATTAATCCCTCTTTAAAATGGTTGATAATTTAGTCTGTATTAATGTTAAAGCAAAGAAACCAAAGTAAATAAAAATAAAAATAGGAATTTCTTTCTTATTATTTAATTCCAGTGGAAACAGAGAATGAATGAATGAGTGAATGTGTGTATATATGCATCATAGGGAGAAAAAGAAAGTTAAATATAAATAGCATCCGTAAGTTAGATGCTATAATTAAAAAAAACAGATAGATAATATTTTCCTTCTGCTATTTGGCATTCATGTGGTTTTTTTTAAATTTCATTTCTATGTGCAGCTTCAGCTATCTTGTAAACTATGGCTTTTGCAGAATGCCTGGATTAGTAGATATACTATATGTGACCTCACCATTGTTTTAAAGCAATTTTCACTTTGTGTGACATAGTTCAGTTATAGAAGAAGAAAAACATCTTTCCTGTACATTTCATAACATTCTGTGAAAAAGAATTTGCAACAGAATTGAGAATTTGCAACAGAAAACCACAACCCGCCGGTTACAGGTAGACTTCAGATAAACCAGGCGTTAATAGTGGTTGGGGAGTGCAGGGAGGAAAGAGGGCATCAAAAGGAGAAAGACACTCTGTCTCAGGAAGATTTGAAAGATGCTCTTTCCTTGTTCCTTAAAACATCAGGCATTTGGAATGCCATGGAAGTAATGGAAATTCCATGTATCCATGTTTGACCTATACGATAAAAACTGTTGCTGCGCTTCAGGTTCTATCATTATTACATAGTGGGATCTTCTGGAGCATAAGGTCAAGATAGTAACAGCTTTGTTGTTTCTCAAAATAACCTTGAAGACCTGACTTTTTGTTCAGATTTTGGGCTAGGATAATATATACTTGCTATATTTATATAAATAAATGAATGATAAGTAACGGGCAGACAAGCAGCCTGATGTGCTATGCACTATAAATTTTTATTAAAAATAGCAACATTGCTCCCATTTGTGGGCATGCAAGTTTTAGTCAAAACTGCTTAGAAACTTGGTGCAATACAGAATATTCAAAGCACTTTTTATTTTCCAGTGGGCATAGTCTTATTGAAAGGCAATCAGTTACCAAAAGGGGATGTTAATAGAGATATCTGTTCTTATTTAATCCCAGATTTGTAACATCTTCTGAAAAGATTTTATTCATTTCTGTAAATATGTTAAATCATTATTTTTCCATTTGGTAGTCAAGTGCTTACTTTGTAAAACTGCTTATGATGACTCAATACTTTTCACTTCCCCTTTCCTTTTCCTTTAAAAAATGGTTTTGACTGTGTTTATATAGTATCTATGCATACTTTTTTAGTTTGGCAGAGCATTTCATTTTTAATAAGATTTATGTTCTTGCTACAACTTTCATTTTATTAGAGCTTGCTTTGTTCCAAACTTTAGCCAAACTCACTGCGGCTGCTCCATTTATTTCTCAATAAAGCTATTGAAACCATCCTATATATGCAGCCATCTTTTATACTTTTGGATTGTTTTTACTTTTCCCCCTCTTTCCATGTCCTTTTATTGTATATAATAACTTAGAAATCAATAAATGGAAAGTACAATGAAATGTTCATACATTTGTTAAGGAAACACATTTCATTTTGATCCTTCATATAGAGAAACAAAATCCTTATAAAGTAATTTGGAGGACATTTGTGCAAAAAAAAAAAAAAAAGCAATGACTGTGCCGACTACATTTAATTTTTATTTCATGTAAAACTTTTGAGAAGCAGGAAGGAAAGAGTAATAGAGATGTTTCTATTATAAGGAAATCTCTAGTAGCTCTCTGATCACCCTAAATGATTCAGTTTTGAATCCTCCCTAATCTATTAGAATTGGGTGGCTACTAAATCCAAAGGAAGGAAAGGGTGGGAGGAGCATGAACTTGAATCACATTCTTTTTGTAGTCATCTACTTTGTCTCAAAGCAAAACAAACTATAGGCTTCATTCTAAATCTCTTTAAAGAAGTGAAAGAGTGCCATTTTCCAAAATTCTGTCACTTATAAAATTGGATAGATACCCTTAGTAGTGTCTATAGCTATATATTTTTCTGTGAAGTTTTCCAGGAAGTTAACATAAAGTATGGAGATTTGATGAACTGGCCTATTTTCTAAATTGCCAAATGAGACCAAATCAAAATATGGTCAGTGTCCATCACTTATTCTGAATATTTCCTCCAATACATAAGTATACAACTGTGAGGTCATTGTAACTAGTCAAATGTACACTCTAAGTACCAATCATCAAATACTGCAGAATAAGTGATAACTGCATTGTAGATCATATATCCAAAACGCAGTCTTTATGAATTAGAGCAATTGTGATAAAGTAATCTTGCTATTTATATTTCTTTTTCAATAGTACAATATTTCTATAAATCAAACTCAATAACTTAAGAGATTCATAAAGAAAAATGTTTTTAATGTGTAATATGTGTCCAAATGACACAATATTTATACATTTTTATTGATATTTGCATTGGAAATTGTGCTATATTAGTTAAGGTACTGTGCAGTTTTTATAATACAAGGGTATTAAAAATAACTTTAGAATTCATTGAACAAAAAACATAGTATTTTGGAAACTATTATAATATTGATTTGATTAAAGCATTCATTTGTTTAATCTGAATTTTATCTTATTTAATTTTATGCATTTATTTGCTATAGAAATAGAAAGGTAGAAGAGATGTATGATATAAAGTATGCAGGATTCACACTTTAGTCTTAATAAAGCCTTATTTGTCTTCCTTACTTCCCAGCGTATATACAGACAATCCACAAAGAAAGTCTGGAAAATGGGAAGATTGACTGCATTGTCTCCTCTGTGCTGTATGCTACTAGTGATAACAAAATAAATGATATAGACATTGGTCCTTGTGAGGAAGCACCACATTGTGTAGTAGAACGTAGATGGCAAGAAAGAGAGCTTTATCATCTGTTTGAATTCAGAAAGATAGAAATCCTTGAATTTTCAAAATAATATTTTTTTTATAATTTGAATCTGCACATTTTAGAAAATTGTCCTGGTGTAATAGTGTAAAAATAATTTGAATATGACCAAATCACTGATTTGGTTCTGAGATACTAATGTATATTTAATCAAGTAAAATATACCTTATACTGTTAGTGGATATATTTAAAAAGAACTGTAAAGTAAATGTTAATGTATTAACTAACTTCTTTAGTATGTAGGAGGTACATTTTTTCAGTTAAGCTCGATTCCAAAGAGTTTATTGTTATTTTTTTGATACTACAACCTATATTCCATCCCATTTTCAGAAACATTGTATGGCTTAGTATCTCTAAATATTATGTAAGAACTCCCTTTACTAATGACAGGCCAGGAAATTAAATCTGACTTTAAAACCTTCAGACTATTAGGTTTTCTGTCCAATTCGTGTCTTTTTATTTGTCTCCATGTTTTTTTTGGTTCAGCCATCTTTTTTCTTTCTTTCTTTCTTTTTTGTTTTATTCATCTTTAATTCTAGAGCAACCAGATAATACTAATGACACTGCTGAATCGGGCAATTTTGTTATACCCGAGATTAGTGTCACAAATGTGGCTGGAGAAAGAACCAGGAATGGGGAAAAAAACAGAATGCCAGGAGAGAGTGATCAACATATTCAGGGTGTACAGGAAATTCCTACAGAACCTAGAGTTGACAGCAAAGGTTTGCCAGAGATCAGGAGGCAAAAATCTGTAAGAAAAATTATGGAGGATGGAATAAGCTCACCTGGCAGAATGCAATTTTAGCAGAACTTTGTAGCTACATTCAAAAAGGTATCAATTGAAAGGGTCATGGCTGCATGTTTTGAAGATTTTAGTAATCAACAATAGACATTTGCATGTACTTTTAGTCAAACACAACTGCATGCTTTACACATAGAGCTGATCTCTGTGCTCCACATATTGATAGCATGCTGACAACAAATAGATTTATCTTAGCTTGGGAAACCACACTGGGAGATTTCAAATTTCATTAATGTTCAAGTTGGACTTTTCAGTTCTGAGTCATTCCATCATTTTTATTTTATACATTTGAAATAACCCTTTCTTTCAAATGTACATAAAAATATCAATTTATTTTAATGTTTTCCCATTTGTTACATGCTCCAGTGTGTTAAGTTTCCGGAATCATCACCAAATTTAACTCTTTAGTACAGAATGTGGCCATTCAGCCCTTTAAATATGAAACACAACGGGATTTGCTAAAAATGTGAGCAGCTGCAGTTGATGCCCTGTTGGTTATTCAGCTGTTCTGATTATCTATTTCCATGATTATTTTGCTGTCTGTAGTATGTAGATACCTTGCTCATATATGGGTTTATTCCTCTTTCTAGCTGTTGTAGATATAGATCTCATCTCTTCTGAATCTTGCATGAATAACAGGCATTTTTTTAAAAAAATCACAATGAGATTGTAAGCATGCTTTCTGTTTCTTTATATTTTGCTATATTACATTGATATAATAGATGAGCTTCTTGTCTGCTCTTAAATCTTTTGCTTTGTGCTTGAATAGAAAGATCTATCAAGAACCAATGAAATATATAGTGTTCTGTCTCCATGCAGGTAACGAATTAGGAATTCCAGAAGAAGAATTAATAGAAGTATCTGAAGTTGATGAAGGTTTTTACTCTAGAGCTACTTCTACAAGTCATTCTATTTCATCAAAAAGTAGCAGTAACACCAGTAATAAAACAATAATGGGCAAGAGTCAACGAAGGCCTGGAGGAAACAAAGTTGGAGGAAAAGAAAAAGATATGAGTGCTGAATCTTACAAAGAACATTTATCTTACAAACAAAGTCAGAGGGCACTGAGTGAAAATCTAGAGCTTCTCTCTTTAAAAAGGCTGACCCTAACTAGCAGCCAATCCTTGCCAAAATCAGGGAGTCATAGCTTAGCTAGAACTAGCACTACTCTTTTTAGTAAATCCTTTGAGCAGGTCTGTGGTGGTATGATCCCAAGTAATCATAATGGCACAGAAACAAATAGGCTTTCAGTGTGCAGTTTGCAAGAAGGGAATCTGATATTTGAAACTGAAAGAATAGACCTTATGGTTCCAAACAAACAATCTAATCAGCAGCGACTACCTACTATCAGCATTACTGTCTCAACAGACCAATAACGTCCTAACTAATGTTGCTGTGTAGAAGAGGGGCCATTCAATGATGGTACCATCTTAGGATCCCTCATGCTCTTATTTTAGTCAACTAAACTGCTTCAAGTTACTTTTATTTTGCAATAAAAACCTAAATTCTTTCAATGACTAAATGTTAAAATGGAATAGTATGGATCATTTGAGTAAATATTTTATAATATTGATGTTTTAACACGTGGGGAGATTTAGGAATTAATTTGCCCAGCAGATAAGTTGTATTGGAGAATGATTGTATGATAGGCCTATCAGATGAAATCTTTAGTATCACTGTGCTATTTCTGGGTGCTATTTCAGTCATTATTAGATGTGGCCTAGAATTAGTTTGCCAGTTCCATACTTAAAAGCAAGAACCTTCTTTCTTAGGCGCCCTGATATAGGTCAGTTAAAGTAGCAGCTGATATTTGAAAAACAATATTCAGATCTGTGTACACAATCTGTTATAAAAAAAATTAACATGTCATTATCGTGCCAGTACTGAACAATGTGAGTTCAAGCCACTATTTCCAAATCGTAACTATGAAAATAACTACAGTATTTCAGTATATGCAAATCTTTTCTGCCCTTAGTAACAGCAGTGAATATTTTACTATATACAGCATGTACTGTATATATATTATTATTTTCTAATACTATAAAGAGAATTTTTTTTCCTTTCCCATCATCCCAGACAGTTAATGCTTTGGTCTATCTTGATATGATTGATCCAGCTGCTAAAAGTACTTAAACTTAAACTTTGACTAAAATTGGTGCAAGTCATTGTTTGTATTACTTAATGTGTACAGGCAGTAGTGATGTAAAACTGCTTTGGGCTTAGAACATGGGTGTCAAACCTGCAATGTCATGTCGTCTTGTGATGTATCGTGATCCCCCACTTTGCTAAGGGGTGGGTGTGGCCAGCACGCATCACATCTGGCCCAAGGGCCATGAGTTTGGCACCCCTAGCTTAGAATATACAGTAGGTCTTGGCATAGTGCAGAGTTGGAAGAGGAGAACGTTATTTATCTTCATTTGGAACAGGCTACAGTTCTACTTTTATAGTGGCAGTGAATTCAAAATGATTAGAGTGACTCTTATTTTTTTGGCATTAAGAATCTGTAAACCAACCCAAGAAACAGTAGTACAATATTTCCTTCTGAAATTGAAAAGACATTAATCTAAAATATTTTAGCATTTTTAAATGGAAGAGTAGTGTGGATTAGAATTATTTTTGATTTTACTCCTCACTTTCAACAAACTGGTTTTAAAATTGCATCACATTTAAATCGTATGCTTTATGTGGGAAATAGGTCATGACAATTAACAGATAATACAATATTTTGGAAGGAAAAGATTTAATTTTATCTTCTTAAAATACAACCTGGCATTTTTATTTTTGCATGGCTATATTGATAATCTTCTCAAATTTGCACAGTTATTCCCCTCTGGTTTCAGCTAATTAGTTAGTTTATAACAACTTCTGGGGGATTAAAGAATGTACATGAACATTGGCATCACATTCTAGTGCTTCCTACATGTTCATGAATCTTTGAATCCTTGTGCAAGAGTAACATTGCTTATTTTTATTCCTCCCACCCACTGCTTTTTACAGTGTTGCTTTTCAACCAAAATACTTTCTAACAAAGATTTTATACTTCTGTTTTTAAGCAAGAAGCAGCTTGATAGACTGTTTTTATATTAACTGTACCATGTACTGGTAATTCTATTTGTATTCAAATAGAGACTTTTCAAATTTCCAGAGACCCAATTTTTTAATAAATAGGTTTTTTTTTGCAATTGTTTGTATTTGACATTTTTGAAAACTCTTTCCATTTTCTGAAATATCTGAACAAAATGGAGAAAATCTAACTAATTTTATGAAATCTCTGGGATGTTTATTATAACAGTATTAATTCATCCTTACACAATTTTCTACATATTTTATGGTTTACTAGTCTTGTATTAAACATTTATTTTGAATAATTAGTTTCTGTGCAGGAATATACAGCCATTGTAGATGAAAGATATTTGAATTTATCTTACAGTTCATTATTTAAAATTCCACAAGATGGAAATAAAATATTTATAGTACTAAAGTTTTAGGACTCTAGAAAACATTACTGTTTGAGTAAAAACAACTTTTTTATACATTCAAATAATTTAGAATTTCTCCAACAGATGATGGAATAAAAAAAAATCTCTGAAATTAAGTTGCTTGAATGTCTTTGAACAAGCATATGTGCAGCCATCTATTAATACATATATAAATATATTGTGCGTATGCACAGTTTATTACATTTATGCACAATCAGAATTGAAATAATGAAAACCCAGAAAATATGAAATTCATATGTACAGTAGATTGATATTAATAAAATGTTTCTCATCACTTTGGAAAAGCACAATGTATTGAAATATTTTAGCAGAATATTAATGAGGTATTCATATTTTGATTGAGTGCAATATATGAATAATTTTTTTGTGATTGACATTCTTGCTTTTCATTATGTTAAACTGAAAATGAAGTAGACTTTTCTGTGGTACAGTAACTGTAGATTTTTTGTAAAGGTCTCTTTCTATTTATTGAATATATTAATTAGTTCTGTGAATTTTTCAACAATTTGCCATTTACAAGGTTGAATACCACTTAATAAACTATTAACAGTATAAAACAACAAAATGTACTATCCACTTTTACAGTATGCACTTGTGACCATATCCTGTTTTAATAACAAACTGTTTTCTGTATTTTAATAAATGAACTGTTGAAGTTTGTATTTCCATGATAAAGCTATCACCTTCAACATTGATTTACTTAGTTTGTAAATATTGTTTTTGGTTACTGAAATAGTTTACATTGATGATGAGATGATGATGTAAGTTCCTGTCACATTGGATTTGAGCAGTATTGGAATTGCAAATTGTGATAGGCTAACCCACTCATAATCCCAATAAAAATCAGTCTTCTGTTTTTGTTTGCTTAATTTATCCATGACTTACAGTTTATTGTTTATTTTTTCCTATCCCTCTTCTGGTGCCAGAACAAAATAATAACTAAAAAGTAAAAACTAAACTATAATCAACAATAAACTAACCACATTTTTAAATATTAGATACAAAAAATTAAAAGTTCATTAAGAAACAAAAACAAGAAATAGGCAAATTGAAATAGTTTTTCCATAAATCCTGGTTAGGAGATAGCATCAAAAGCTCAATATTAATAATCTTTAATTATGCATGTGCGTGTGTAGTGATGGGTGGTGGAATGGTACTTAAATATAAATTTAATGTAGGAAAAGTAACAACTGTTCCGGAACTTAGAAGACGGTATTATATTGGGGATGGAATGAAGGACAACATAGGTAAAACTTTTAGAAGAATTAGCATCAGGCTAGAATGAATTGTTTTTCAGTTTATCTCAACTAGTGAGAAACAAGGATACCATCTGTGTGTATAATCTGAATGCCCCAGGATCATGCATTGATAAAGAAATTGCTGCCACATATGTTGTTCTGAAAGAGAACCCTTCCCAGTTTTGGCTCAGTATTTTGCTAGTCGAGACATATAAATTTTTACTCCTCACACAGACTATTCCTGGATTCTCTTCATTAGGACAGAAAAAGAAAAAAATCAGAAGAAATTGCTTGACAGTGGACCAATCAGAGTGGAGCCTATACCCAGCCAAATTCCAGGAACTGAGGGAACACTTTGGTCCTCCAGTCCTGGACCTATTTGCCACCCCAGACAACAAGAAGCTTCCCAGGTTTTTCTCCAGGTTCCCAGTACCGGGGCCAGAAAGGATCGATGCCCTTCACAACCAATGGCCACAACTTTCTGCCTCTTCCACTGATCCTGGGGGAAATCAAGAAAGAACTGAAGGAGGAGGTGCAGTTGCTGCTTATCGCCCCTCATTGGTGCAGGAGACGGTGGTTCACTGATATGATAGGTCTGTCAGTGGCTTGTCCCTGGCATTTGAGCAGGAAGTCCTGAGTACTGACAACTACTCCAAGGTGATACGGACAATTCATGCCCCTAGGAGGCCTTCTACTGACAGAATATACAATGCTACCTGGACAGCCTTTTGCTGCTGGTGCTCTAACAGAGATTGACCCTTACTCGGTAGCCATCAGTCAAGTACTGGAATTCTTCCAGAATGGTCTGGACAAGGGATTGACTCAGTGGGGAAATCTAAAAATTTTCCCTACTGATTATGTGGGTGTGGCTTGGTTGTCATGGCTTGGTGGTCATGTGACTGGGTGGGCGTGGCCAAGCCAACATCACTGCTGTGCCCTTATGACCTACAAAAAGAAAATATACGAATTATTTCGTGCATTTAATACTTAAATAAGAATAATGAAGAATACTTATGTAAGAATACTTACATAACAGCAATAAAAGTTTGTTGCCTTTTCATCCTTGCTGGTAAAGGCTGCTACTGCAAAAGCAAGAAAAAGAAGCTTTGTTAGCTGAGCACCAGTGATGGGAGCAATACAAAAGCACACAAAATACAAGCAACCAGTTTTAACACAAAAGCAACACAACTGGCTCACACACTACACAGAAGCAGCTGCACTTCACACAAAAGAGCTCCTGCCACAAGCAGAAAACTCACAGAGCCACAAAGAGCTCAAAAACCAACTTACATTTTACACAAAAACAACACAACTGACTCACAACATTGCAAAAGCTCACATGCAGTGCAAAAGCAGCTGTATCGCACAGAAATGCCCCTGCAACAGATTTAACAACTTGTAGGCCATCTAGTCCAACCCCCTGACAAAGCAGAATTACAAAAGCACAGAAAATGGCCCCTGCCACAAGCAGGAAACTCACAGAGCCACAAAAAAATCAAAAAGCAATTTTCACATTTAACAAAAACAATGCCATTCTGCAACTCTCACACAATGTAAAAGCACACAAAGTGTCCCCTGCAACAACAAGCAGGAAACTCACAATCACAGATAACTCACAAAACCAACTATCACAAGCACAAAATGTCACATACAACTTGGTGTGATTTTGTGTGTTTGTGTAGTGAGTGTAAAACACTACAGAAGCACACAAAATTTCAGAAAGCTGTACAAATCTAAAAATATAAAAGCAGCTAAAACTATAAATTTTAAATGGCTATTATTTCCTAAAAAATAAAAAAAATCCTAAAAAAAACCCCAAGTAACCTTTTTTAAAAAGTAAAACAAAAAACCACCCAATTAAAGGCACAAAGCAGGCAGGCAGATTCAGTTGCTAGCCGAAGAGATGGATTGCAGACAGAAAGCTGGGAATTTAAAAAGCAGCTGAGCAGCCAAACAGCAAGGCAGACATTCTTCAAACAGCAAGGCAACTCGGGATTTGGTCCAAAGAGCGAAGGTAAGCAAGCTGGATGCTGTGGGGAAAGCTAATAGTTAGCCGGGTGGCTTAGCCAGGCCAGGCAGGGGAGCCTGGGGACAGACAGAAGTCCGCGGACAGGTAGCTGCTCTATCTTCAGTTTTGTTGTATGGAACCCTGGGCTCGCTTTTACAGCATCCCACCGTCTGCAGATTTCTCAGGAGTGCAACCATCTTAAAGCCTCTAGTGGTACACAGGTACCCAACCTGGGACCTGTCAAAGGTGTTAAATGCTCTTACTGAGAGCCCCTTCAAACCACTGAGATTGGCCTCTTTGCGCTTCCTCTCCTGCAAGGTAGCATTCTTGGTTGCCATCATGTCAGCCAGAAGGATTTTGGAGCTGGCGGCCCTTTCGGCGAGGGAGGACCTCTGCATATTCCATCCAGACAGAGTGGTATTACGCTTGGATCCCTCCTTTGTTCCCAAGGTGAATTCCTGGTTCCACAGGGCCCAGGAGTTGATTCTGTCAAACTTCTGTCCGGGGCCCACTCATGCCTGGGAAAAGAAATAGCACATCTTGGGCTTTAGGAGGGCTCTCTGTATTTACATTAAGCAGACCTCCTCTTTCTGGAGGACTTTTTGTCTCCTTTCAGCCTTCCTTCTTGGGTACCAGGGTCACCCCGATGAAGGTGGGATGGTGGATTCGGGTGTGCATCACCTACAAAACCCAGCCCCTTTTGGTGCTTAGGCATATCATGGTCTATTCTACCAGGAGCGTGGCCATGATGATGGCAAGGATCACACAGGCCTCTATAGAGGAGATCTGTAGAGCAGCAACTTGGGCCTCTCCATCCCCCTTTATCCGCAATTACAAATTGGACAAAAAAATGCATCTGAAAATAAGATTATTTATAATTTTAGATAACGTATTATAGTGTCAAACTCCAAAGGTTTTTGATACTTAATTGTCGTCGTCATCATCATCACCACCACCACCACCATCATCTCTCTCTCCTCTCCCCCCCTTAGAGGGACTGTTGTTCCTTGTGGAAAACACAACAAGGAACTCCTCGGCTCCTTGTGTCCCCCCCCCAAATCTCCTTTTTTGTTGTTGGCCACTAGTGGTCACCACTTATGGTCCTCGGCGATACACTCTTGCCCGCCACCCATGTGACTGGATGGGAGTGGCTTGCTGCCCATGTGGCCAGATGGGGGTGACTTGCCGCCTGTCAGCCTCTGCTTTGCTGCTGCTTCGGCTGCCA